AAGACCATAATACATGTAAAACACATTTTTAAGATGAAAAAACTAAATTGTAAATATGTGTTAAGGTTTATATAAAAACAAAGCAATTTATTTCTGCCTTCCTTATGTGAACAAGACATAATTATAACAATTTTACTCCCGCGATATTTTGTTTGCAACAACAAATTCTCTCATTATTTTGCAAAATAAAACAATCAAATCGGAAAAAAGATATATTGTTTCTGAAAAAAGACAAATTAGAAAAAAAATGGATAAATAATTCACTTAACTCTGCTTAAGTTTTTTTTATATTAAGTTTAATAAGAGAATAATTGAATGTTTCCTTATCAAAATTACATCATACGCCTTCATTTTGTCCAAATAAATTAGAATTTAACTATGAATATTTAAATAAAAATATAAAAGTATTTTTTTAATACTATTAAAATAATTAAACTAATCTAAGTTGCATCCGATTTCTTTCAAAAAGTATCAAGACCAACCAAATAATTGGAGTGCTGAAATGAACTGGGTTAGAAATAATTTCAATAACGATTACAAAAAATATGGAAAACACACTCACCATTTACTTTAATATTTCAATTATTTATCATTTAAAACTAAAAATGTATTCATTTTAAATTCATTTCATGCCATCAAGTTTTGCAATATGTTCGCTTCACTTACCAACCAACCCAAATTGCAACAATCATTTATGTATCTTGGCGATAAAAATATTGTAACATCTAAAGCAAAATCTCAATCAATTGAAAAATTGATTGAACTATTATATATATTTATATATATTTCATTGCAATAATAAAGATTTAGTTACCGATTCCATTGGGTTAAAATTTAAACCTAATCATTTTGTTGGGTTACTAAGGCAAATTTACTTATCATTTTTTTTAAGATTTCTATATACTTTTTGCTTAATAGGAAAATTAATTATATGTTTTTACCTGAAAGAATATTTATTGATAATGCTCAAAGTAAATTCGTATTAATGTTTTGGAATAATTAAATGGAATAATGATCAAAATTAAGAACGCAAGAAGAAATTATAATAAATAAATACTTCAGTTAAACACTTTTAAATTAGAGTTTAAGATACATTTTACTGGTAAACAGTTTATGCTTACAACTTTTAATGTACGTTGGTGCACCCTGGGTTACGCAAAATCTTTGCTGATGGCTCCTAGAAATGATTGTCAGCAGAATCATTTACTTCGCATTGGACTAGCCCAGGGGTGAGCAACTTTTTTAATCAACGGGCAAATTAAAATTTTAAAATTTTTTGGTGGGCCGCACATAAAGTAACACTTATTAATAATTTACAAAACTTTATTTATAATAAACATTAGAATAAAAAAATATAAAATTTAAGATAAAGTTAAGATTTCATATACAAATTTTAATTCAAAATTAAAACAAACAAGAAAAGAACAATAAAACGAATTTACTTGAAATTTTTAATGAGAAATTTGGCGCTGTTTTTTCGATACAAGCTGATCAATATCAGCCGGAATTGATGAGGTAGCTACACAAACACAGCTTTCTAATCGTGCATCACTCAGTTTTGACCGGTGGTCATTGTTGATAAATTTCATGGTTGAAAATAATTGTTCGCAAACATACGTACTTCCGAACTGAGACATCATTTGCTCTACATTTTTCGTCAAAAGCCGAAATTTCTCAGGACTCACATACGATTTAGAAAAATTCTCAATGTTTACTGAGAATTTTTTTTTTTAAATCGGTATCATTCTGCATGTCAATCACTTCCATTTGAAAGTCTTCGGGAACTGTATCCACATCGATATTAAATGGCGAGGAAAACATTTTTATGGAAACCGCTGTCTTCTCAGCTTTGAAGATTTGGAATCGTAATTGAAATTCGTTGATTAAAATGTCTATATATTGTGCGCAATTTTGAGAAGTAGTAACGTTTAATTTTTCCAAATGTGGAAAATGAGACTCATTATTCTGCAAAAGATTATGTTTCCACAATTTTAATTTGCGCTCAAAGCCCTGAATTTTATCATACAAATTGTGAATAAACTGTCCTTTGCCTTGAAGTTCCACATTAAGATCATTGAGATGCTGAGTCACGTCGATAAGAAACCCAAAATCGCACATCCATTCTTTATTACCAAAATGAGGAAAGGCATATCCCTTCATATCCACGAACAATTGTATTTCGCTTTTTAAGTTGTATACTCTCTTTAGCATTGCACCTCTACTAAGCCAACGTACTTCGGTATTAAAAACCACGTCGCCATATTCAGTTTCTAAATCTTTCAGGCATTCTTTAAATTCACGGTGATTTAACGATAAGCTTGGCTTAACCCCGTCCCGCCTCCTGTGGGAGGCATCCGGGGAGGCAGATGATCCATTGAACAAACATAGTGTAGTTTTACAAGTGAAAGATGATAAATATAATGGCAACTATGAACAAAAGTAAAGATGATCAGTACAATAGGTGGTTTTTACAGGTGAGTGAAGGGGTTGTACGACGCAACCACACTGCTCAGTGAGCAATTATAGCAATTACACTAATAAGTTGAGACATATGCGATGATGATGATTACAGTGGAAAGCATGAACAGAAGTAAAGATGATCAGTTCAACAGACATAAGGTAATTTTGCGATGTTCCATAAGGTAATGTCTGATTGACATAAAGTCCGTCTAATTGCAATGATAATAAATACAGTGGTTGGTTGGAACAAATCTAAAGATGGTAAATACAATGGGAATTATGAACTGAGACAAAGATGGTCATTACAGCAAGAGTAATGTGATTTTACAAGTGAATGAGGGGGTTGTGTGACGCTGCAACAGTGCCCAGTAAGCAAGTANGAACAGAAGTAAAGATGTTCGATTACACAAACAAAAAATGGTTTTTATATGGGGGGGGGGCTGTGTGACGAATCTACGGTTTCCAATAAGGTAAGGTCTAATTGGCATTATATCCGCGATTTCGATCTGTGTAGTGATTGTTATGCATAATGATTTGACGACTGTGAGAAGTGGTATCTGTCGATGATTTCCGGCGTATGTCTCTCGAAGTGTGACTTGAATATTTCAATGATTCCCTGTTTAATCTGTTTGTTTCTCCAATTTTGTCTCAATTGTTCGTAATTGAACCCGGCAGGGAAGACGATAAAATTGATAACGATAAAATTGATTAGTTTAATTATTCGCACTGTGACATTTGGCAAACTTAATCTTTTCGCACACAAATTTTCCTGGTGAATTATGCAGTGGTTAACGAATATTTCCCTTCCTGTGACTTCTCGATACTCCTACCTTCATGCTTGACATTGCTCGTGCTTCATCTGCCGATATACCAATAATTTTTTCTAATGAAATTGAAAAATTTTCCAACACTGACTTTAGTTCATCGTACAGGTCTTTACCGGTTGTAGTCCCTTGCATTGGAATCAGTGAACACAATTCTTCGGTAATATTAAATTTGGTGTCAATAACATGTAAAAAGATAGCCAGTTGTGCTGAATCGCTAATATCGTAACTCTCATCAAGTGCCAAAGAACAGTATTCAAATTTTGCAATGCGTTCGCGAAGCGTTCTTGCTATGTTCTCGGACAAGTCTTAAATTCTCCTTTCAATGGTGAAACTTGATAAACTAATGTTTGAAATAATATTTATTTTATCAGGAAATGCTATTTCTGCAACAGCGGTCAGACATTCTTTTATCATCTTTCCATCCGCAAAGGGTTTCATTTTTTTGTCAGTATTTGACTGACAACAAAACTAGCCTTTACTGCCCTATTTGATAAAATAGCTTGATTTTTAAAAATAGCCTGTTGGTTTCCCAAGTTTTTCTCCATTTGATTAAACTTTTCTATCCGGAGTTGTCCCGTTAAGTTTTTATATTGCTGTTCATGTTTTGTATCGTAATGCCTTTTCATGTTATATTCCTTTAATGTCGACACAGTCTCTGAGCATATTAAGCATTCAACTTTATCTTTGACAAAAGTGAAAAAATTATCAAATTTCCACTTTTCTTGGAAATGCCTGTGCTCATCTGCAACCTTCCGTTTTTTTGTTTGCTTTTCCGACATGCTATTGTGGATTGCACTAATATTGCACTCACGCCTTTCAAGAAACACAAGAATTGCTAAAATTGTTAGTTACAGGTTACCAGTCTGACTGATGTGTGAGAGAAGTGTCGAGTGTCTCGAATGAATCAATAAAATGTATTTATCACGGAACACGCATTTATTTATAATTAACAGGTTTACACATTATAATTATACATTTCTAACATTATTTGCAATATCAACGACTTACAACTTTCAGACTAAACAAAGTGTGTCACTCGCCAGGAATTGGCCGGTAGAGTGTTTTTATCTGATAGTGTTCACAGACAAGTGTTTCCTCTTCAGTCTCACTTTCAAACTACGGCAAGCCAGTCTATAAGTGGTGCTACAACACTGAGGTGGTTACAAGTGCTGCCGCCACAGAAGCAAACATAAACAAGCACAGACGCGGCGAATTCGTATTGCACGTTTGAACAAGTCGCCGACAAATGAGTAACTCGTCATAAAAAATTTTTTTGGTTTAGTATGTACTACCATTTTATTATAATTAATTTTATAACAATACGATGGGATAAAGTCGATAAAATAAATTCAATTCTAGAAATGCTTGACTGGCAGCATAAACATGTTTAACGGGCCGCGTGTAGCTCATCCCTGGAGTAGCCGATTCACCTTTGTGTGTTATATGAGATAGTGGACGGCCAATGACGGCAGAACATTTGGACGAGTGTGAAGCCCTGACCAATTTTTTTTTGTATATTTCAACGCTATTGGCAAGCAAGAAGTTTAATGGCCTAACGGCTTGTAACTGGCATTTGACAAATAACTTTTATTCTTATGCTTATGACAAACAAAACAAAAAAAATACTTTGTGAAACAAACTTTTTAAAACTTTTACTTTCATTAATTAAGGTTTTGAGCTGCACATGTGAGGGGAATACTAACATGAATTAAACTAATATGAGCCATTGAATAATGAAATAAAACTTAATTGACAAAATAATCTATTTATTAAAAACTTTAAAATAGAAACTGCATTAAGACGTACTTCAACTTCCATAAAAGTTGGGAAAAGAAACTATGCCCCCTGAAGCACGCATAACGTTAAAGTACTAAAAATAAATAAAACCTTGAAGAATTCAACGATTGAATTCTAAGGCAAACATGCTATACGAAATTGTTAGTCCAACTGATAAGCAGGCATAATATTCTAGTTCAAAAGAGTTTCAGAGCACATGCGTTACAAAACAACAAATAATAAATAAGAAAGGATTTCTTCTAACAAGTTATTGTTAGAGTATTCATTTACGGCTGACAAACATGCTTATTTATTTTACCCTTTTGTAACGCCATCACTAACACATGCCAAATATTGAAATCTGATTGTTGGTTTAAGTTACCCTATATTGCTAGGTACCTTAGACCACCATTTTTCATTTATTTATTTTCTTCCTAATTGAAACTTTCAAATGTATAAACAACTTAAGTATATAAAATACAGACAAAAACATAAACATGTAAACACTTACAGTAATAGCTCTTATGGGTCATTCTCACTGAAAAGGTATAAATAGACTGAAAATTTTTCTTAAATTAAAGTAATTAAAAAAGTGATGAAAATTACATAAATGTCTTTATTTATTCTTGTTATATGTCCTTATAATAATGGTCAAGTTTTCTATTTTATTTTTTACAAGATTTAAAATATTTTAAATTCTGCCTTGTCCATGGAGGAGATGTAATAGTCAACGGAGGAGACATTTTATGTTATAAAATGTCAATGAATGTCATTAATAATTGGGTACAACTAATATGAGTTTAACATTAAAATGTAAATAATAAAATATTTCATTATTAGAAATGGAGCTACTTCCGATTAATCATGCTGCTATGAAAAGAAACATCCATTTTTAACCAAGGTGAGCAATTTTTTTAAGTATTTCTTACTGTATATTATTAAATTAAAATGTAAAGACTATTGAAATAAAAATTCAGACTCCACATGAAAGTTGAGTGCTGAGGGTACTCTTTTATGAACATTTTATGCAAGTTAATCATACCGTCATCCAAATAACGATTTTGTTTTTTTCTTTTTTCTTCTTGTTATTGTTTCTTTTTCCCTGGGCACAAACGGCTTGCTCTATCGATTTCTAGAAATTTAAGTACATTTAATCACGATTTTTCTGTTAAATTTTTTTCTGATACAGATTTTAAAGTTTCTTGCTCTTTTTTTTTTTACTTTCTTCAAACAGCATAGGGTTTTCTTTTAATTTCTGACTAACTTGTCTCATACTAAGTTTTTTCTGTTCCCTTCTCTTTTGCATTTTAACATTTGATTGCCTTATTTTTTATATTTTGGTTTTGCCATTTTTTTTCCTGAAATTCGAAGAGAAAAAAAATGTTAACCATCATAGAAATTATTTAGAAAAATTGCCAATATTTACTTCTCCGATAAGAAAATGATAAACTTAATTGATTTTTTTTAAAAATACAAACAAATTAACACATTTGTTCAATTTTAAAAAATATCAATTAAAAGAAAATAGTTTTTTTTATTATTAAAATTGCATAGTTATCTGACACATTGTCTCTTCCATTGACTGTGTCTTCTCATGCGTGGACTTGTTATGTCCACGGAGGAGACAAAAACTAGTTCTTGAATTTTACTGATTTTTGATTTTAAAGTTACAAATATATCGCAGTTCTATTTATTAAATATACTATTTTTGCAATCTAAAATTCATCTATCAAAAATAAAATAATTCTCTCTTACCTTCTTTATGATGTCTACGGAATATACGATGAGAACTTTGCCAAACCCCATTTGAACGCAACAATCCAAAACTGACACCAAAGAGAACAAAAACAACTGATATTTAACATTAAAAACTAGAACGGTTACATTTCCCAGCAGCTGTCTTATAGGGATTTC